ATTCCAACTACCGACCGGTTTCAAACTTATCGTTTTTGTCAGAAGTGCGGGATTAAGTTGTGAAACACCAGTTAAGTCGACACCTTAACAAATTTCAGTTAATGGACACGCATCATTCTACATACAGAGCACCACACAGTACAGAAACAGCTATGAATTGTGTGTTGAACAAGGTCATCAGTGCTGTCGACTATAATAACAATGCCATGCTTAGATGCTTGATTGGCATTTTAGAAAAATCGTAAAATCGGGCAAAACACTTCGGCCTAACTGGGCGTTCAGTGGGATGCGTAATACGATATCCAAGAGAAAACATACGAATAGCTGCTGAAAATAATAGATCAGACTATAGATGGCAATTAGGTCGCTCAGCCAGGTCGTCGACTCACCTGGCATGAAATGCACGTGCTGCCTACAGGCACAAGGGGTCATCTGAAAAATATTTTGTGCTTTTTCATGTGTGTTTCATGTCTCATCTATTGATTAACATCTTACGTGTCTTTCTTTCATAAAGTTTATGTTGACATATGTAAAAGAGTATGATACCCGAAAACCATAGAAACGCATCGTAGTATATAGGTGGCATGACCACCCGAAGATCGACAGGACTGGATATTATTTCTAAATTGTTATGACGTGCCGTGTACCTCCCCAGTATAATTGCCCTAAAGGATTATCTTATCTTAGCTGATATCTCTATCCCCCAGCCCGACCCCAGGTTTTGCTTTTGAGACGACCCCTCCTATCTGTTTCTTTTTATAGTGACAGTGAGACTCCATGGTAGCTACATCCTTAATAGTTTCAGCATAAAAGTTATTATTTTTACGTCAGCTATCGTTTATAATGAATCTACGTCTAATTTCAAATTGGGCATTTAAAAAGTGTCCTTTGTAATACAATATCGTCGCACACTAATTTGCATAAAGCCATGGTCTGTTCCAAATAAGTCTTTTTGGACTTAGAAATAAACCGCATTACTCATTTCTGCACTACTTTCCCCTCTTTAAAGTCCTTTTTCTCCGTTACCTATCTCTCTACCACTGAGACTGTAGTTAGACCGAACTTAGTTTAACAGATATTTCACACTTTCACATATGAACTACAAAAATTGTAGAGATAAATGAGAAAATACAGTTTTTTTCTATTTCCGACACTACTTTAGTCACTTCTATGCTGATGATTCGCAATTGCTTGACAAACTGGATCTATCGGAGACTAACCGAGCCTCCAACATACACAACGTGGAGTGACGTCAAGTCCTGGATGAAATGTTGCCCCAGCTGTAATAAAGAAGTTGTTCATCTATATATTCTTATCCTTCCTTACTGCTCCAACTTCTAAATGATCTAAAGAAGTTCAGCCCTTTAATGACTGTAAATTTTCCAAATGAATTTTAGCTTTCCCTTTTCCAGTTATTTCACAATCGTATACGAGTGTTTTTCACCCAAAGTACATTCTGGAGCACTGAAATTATCTCTAACACTTATAACTAAATTTCATGCCAGTCAAATTTTGTCTTTAGTGCTACAGCCTGTCTTAGAGTCGATCCAAATTAACTTAGTTTTAGACATATTGATTTTTATAATGGGAGAAAGGCGTCAAAGTATCCTGAGAGATTTTTGAGCTATCTTCTAGGTATGGTTGGGAATCATCTACATATTGTCCTGATGTATTTTGTTAATCATTAATAGGTAAACCATAACGTTATTTGTCCCTTATCATAATTGGCAAGACCTCAGTCGCAAATATACATACGTATGTATGGCGATACTAGATCGCTTTGTCTACGGCCTCGGGAATTAAAATAACATGAAATATATCCAATTTGAATGCTGCATGTCGAAGAATTATTTATTTAAATATTTACCCACTTAATCATGTATATGGCAAAGCCGTACCTTTCTAAAAACAGCAAGTAAAAATGTTTTGGAGACTGTAAAACAACACTCATCACTATTCCATCAATCAATTGTTTTCAATCTTCTAGCTATGAATGTACTTATAATTGTGTAAAGTGTATTTAATAGCGTGCCTGTCTTTAAGTAGAATTTGATCTGTATTTTCTTTTGGAATGCATGTAATAATTCCCCTGTTAATAGTATCTGTTAAAAGATTAGTACTGAAGGCTTCATTGATATACCTGAAAACCCAAGCCGTAAAAACCTTTCCAAAGAATTTCATGGGAAAACCAAAATTTCCTCTACGTTCTCTTGTAATTGCGTCTGAAATTTCGTTCATTTCAATTGGTGTTTGCAATGTGATGTAAGTCTTAGGTAAGAGCAAGTCCTCCATGAATGTGTTCGTTATGCCATCCTGAAGGGTGACTGATATAACTGTACATTTAATTATGCTTCTTTGAAAATGAAATACAATCAATTGATATTTTGTAAGAAGTACTTATTGTGATGTTTGACAAAGTACTACAAAGTGATTTGTAAATTTAGTAGAATGAAACAGTAACAGTAACTGCCAGTGGCTCTATCTTGAAAGGCGATTGAAGTGACGTAAAATAATTGTTCCCAGACTGGGTACGTGAGTTCCACACTATTCAAACCATTGTCGTCTCTCCAGTGTTGTATTCAGAGTATAGTTTGTTGGAATTGTTTGGCTAAATTTTCCAGAACATTGCCAGCAGCCAGAGACATGATGTAAATCATGCTGGAGTAGCAAGCAGGAAGAATGTACCGTAAATCCCCATGGTAATAGTATAGTGCCTTGACTTGATTGCGGGTGACCTATAGTTATTATGTATTATTATGAATAGCGACTTGTTATAGTTCATACTAGATTTAAATGTAAATCTATGCGAGCTTAGTAAACATCATTTTCCTTTTCGACATGATTTGTACAGTTTGATTTGTCAGTAGCCCATGACAGACTTGAATGCCAAATTATAAGTGACAAAACCAAAGTTACTTGTGGCTGGACAGATCCTGTAGATTATAGTCAAGCTTCCGTCATCTAGGTGTCACCTAATATACTGAGTATGATTGTTTGGGGAAAATAGTGTTTTGAGTGTTTCAAGTCTGGATACGTGGGAATGACATTTCATTTCATTTCATTCTTGTAATATTGGATCCATAAATATATACTTATATATACTGACATATATTTATGGATCGAATATTACAGGGATGAAATGAAATATCACCCGGAAAATATATTTTCTGATGTTGCCTACATTATCGAAGTGTATCATTATTCTCTGAAACTAGTTACTAAATACATATGTGGAAATTACTACTGCTTTTTTGTAAAACAAGTTAATACAAATTAAACACCTCTTTTGTCTTTCTTGTGTGGATTATGCTTATATAATCAGCAAAGTGAGCAAACTAACATCCCTCACCTCCGCACGTGTGAATTTGAAGAAAGAAACATCTGTGGCAAGTAACATGTCTAATCGTGTCTGTTAAGCGCAGGTGATTTCACACTGCTCCTTAGTCATTATCTGTTATGTAAATAACAGTGTGTGAGGAGACACTAAGCTCACCTAGAAATTAAGTTCACATAAACAGTATGCTACTTAAAACATTGTATATTTTCCTTTACCTGTATATGGATATGACCAATGTAGCGACATCAAGATTCTGTAGGTAACGCAACCATCAAAGCTTCACAGTCACAAGTCACCTGCTCTAAAATCTAATTTCACATCCAGACAGTTTTTATAAAAACAAACTAATTCGCCTTAATTAATGGCATGGCCATCCCATCATGATTCCGTCACGCCATTAAAATCTCATTCCGGTTTAATAAAATTCCTATTAACTAGTCTGATTAAATTGTAATTTAAGAATACATTGTTTTGGCCAACCAGTCACTGTTGTTTCCTGACATTTTAGATCAAACACAATTTCATGTTATTTCATGTGAACACATTAAACACGAATGAATGCTACAATATCTCTTCTAAATGGAAAGCAAATATAATAGTAGTTTGACAAGAAGGCTTGAAAATAATTTCAAATATATTCATTCCCATAGATACAAAACGACAGACAGACAGACATTTCAATGTTATACATTGCATGCTTCTGGCATCACCGTCAACTTCTACCCAGAGATCTAGTGCCCATCAGAGTGAAATCATATATCCTAACCGACAGGCTCAGTATCCATAAACCTCTCCGTACACGCCCACACAAGCTGCAGATTGCCCACTCAAAACGCATGTCCTTTGCAACAGCTTTTGACAACTCGTCAGGAACAGATAACAACGCTAGCAGGATGTGATCGCATCACGCCAATAACATACAGGTGAGGTGAGGTGAGGTGAAATTGGGTTTTACGTCGTGCTTGAGAATATTTCACTCATATGACGACGTGCGTGCGTGTGTATGTGTATGTGCGGCTGCTTGTACTAGCCCAGACTTAAGCTGGTTTTATAGTGCTAGCCCACTGAGATACCATGCCGCAGTGAAGCATGAATACCCCACTCAGACACATTATACTGACTCCGAGCCAACCAGTCCTTGTTGTACCCATTAATGCCGAGCGCCAGGCAGGGACCAACAAGTACCATATTTTAACGTCTTTTGGTATGACGCGGTCAGGGATCGAACCCGCGACCTTCCGCTCTCCGGGCGGACGCTCTAACCACTACACCACGGAGGCGGTCCCAATAACATACAGGTTATTGAGAGATGTTTTTTCTGGACAATGAATTTGTTTCTGTGAGTTTCAGTTTTCGTCAGATGCTTCCATTTTGATGGGTGATCCGACACATTTTCGGTCACCTGTTGTTTGTTTGCATAGTTAGGAACATGACAAAATACGCTTGTTCATTAAAATATTTTCAAATATCCATGGCTATGTCAATAGGTGCACTTTACCGAATTACTGGTGATTCTTCGCAAACTTTGAGAAATGTAGACTGAAGTGATAGCCCATTTTTTACACGTGTTGGAAGTGCGTCTAGCTTTCATTATTCCAGTTGTCAAATTTTCCGTACACTACCTGTCCTTATTGTTCATAACACATGTACGCACAAAAGCAAATTTAGGTTGTTATTAGATTTATTAACCAACAATTATTCCAGCTTCGAAATTGTCAGTATGAATAAAAGGGGGAGCCGGAAGTGACGTGTCCTTCCCATATATGGCACACTTCTTGTAATCACAGGGACTTTCTCTCCAGGCGTACCGTAAACCAACGACGTTGTGAGTGCATGCTGTGGTAGAGAGGACAACTTCATTGTCCTGGTGGGATTGGATCGGTGCAGCCACCCAGTTGTCGTGAGCACCACACGTTGTAGCAGTTGAGCAGCACACCTATTTGGAATAATTAATCAAAATCCATCATGGATAGACCGTCATTATAAGAGCAACTAGCATCGAGGAACAGGATAGGGAGTTGTTATTCACCTACTCCTCAAAACCATGACCAAACTTTGTTCACATTTTGAATTTGTTTGTCGGAGCAGTACTTTGCTTAGCTGGAACGCTTCTTACTTCTTACCGAAATTTTTTTTTACCACGAGCTCTTGTCCTTGTATTGAAGGTAGATGTTACAGATGTGACACATTTGAAAATCTTGCTATACCTTGTTAGACTGACAATGTTGCCGACTGTATTAATTATTAATTTGTAACGTACCTCAAACCCATTGTTGGTGTTGACCATTATGGGACCATAGCTGTAGAGGACGTTGATTGTGTGGTGAGCCTTATTGTTTGCCACAGTCTTGGGAAACGGACCCTGGTACTTTACTCCTGGTTCTTTGTACGCTACTCCTCGTGCGGCCAGAACTAGTCGCCTGGCAACGTCCTGTTTGTACCGTGGATGGATGCTGAATGAATAAAGCTTAAAACTACCATATGGTTCATTAAATAGAAATAATGCTATACTCGTAAGTCTAAATCTTAAAAATATATTTATGCTGTACCCAATTGCGTTAGGAATACGCACTATCCACTATACGTACATTGAATATGTTCGTTTCATTATTTGCGATATTTACCAACTAAATAGTGCGTAAAAGTGGCACTGTTTTAGAATTTAATATAATAACAAGCTCTGAAAGTACTGTAACTATATCAATATACCAATCTTAACGACAAGTAATCCACCAAAAGCTATGTTAGCATATTACCATTGTAATAGGTAACTGATATTTTTCAGCGTATCGCATACCAGGATTTGTCCCAAAATATTTGACTATGTAACATAGAAGTCAAGGTCAATCGAAACCGTGGCCTTCAAAATATTTCTGTAACATTAAAATGACAAAGGCAATTTTGTTTTTGCTCTCCCAAATACTGCCAAATCACTGGACGAGCCAATCCAAATTATCTTCCCTTTGCTAATCCGTTAGGGAATCGGAAGCTGAAAACATTAACTAACAGTTCATGTCATATATGGGATGTGAGCTGTAGGTGTCACTGAGGCAGTGAGCCAGTATAGTCTTTACCTTTATCTGTAACATTTTGACAGGACCTAAAACACTGATGACCATAATTGCTTATATTACAATAAGCATCTGAAACTGTTGGAAGCGAAACGGTGGGATCAGTTGATGTGTTGTGGCTTTGGTGACGTTTTTAACTCGTTAATCGTTTTCCACTGGATGTTAAAATATCACACTTGTGAACCTGAAGTCTATTTTCATTGCATACGTACTCGTAGTTACACCGAAAGGGTATTGTACATGCAAGTCAGTATGGCGTGGTATTGATGCGGTTCTCAAGGTCTTGTATGCATTGTGTGAATTTCGTCGGCCCGTGCTTATTGGGATTTTGAAAACGCACATATTTGGCAGGTATATAACTGGTTTATTTCAATCATTTACTATAGTTTGGCATGAAATGTATGTGGACACAACACTGCCGCTGTTACAGGTCATTGACTCCCTCCCTCTGCAAGCAGTTAGCGTTCTGCTGTTTATTTTGTTGACAGTTACATAGACAGATTTTTTAATACAAATGCATAAAATCGGTGATTTACAATGTGCTTAGGTTGTCTGACAAAACATCCACTTGCACAGTTTGAGATCGATTGGGTCATTGGATGAAGAGATATTTACAGAAAACCGGGTCCACATGCATTTCATGCCAAACTATACATGTAATACAATGCTAAATTTAGGATATCAAAACTGAGTGGAAATAAATGAAATCTCTTTTTTTGGTATGTGTAATGGCTTATGGTCCAAGGTATAAAATGATTATGTTAATGAATTATGAATACCTGTAAATTTCTACAATGATTATAATTGATTTGTGATCAATTCAGGATATTCTTAAATAGCCATTTTTATAAACAATGAACAGAATAAAAGGGTATTGTTTCTGACACAGAAGAGGCTATATTAGTTTAAATACCGAACAATGATGCAATAAAACAATAAACAATATTTGATTTTAAATACATTTTCCATTGAATATTCATTCGTTATAAACAGACATAATCCAATGATTGTCTTTGGGGACTGTTGATAGAAAATCAGGATATAAAGCTATAGGTAGATAGTAGATGGTCTGTAAGGGAAAATATATTGCCAACATGCTGCCAAAACAAGTACATACATATGCCATTTGACTGATTCTTGTATCCGACATATCCCCTGGGGGACACATCTCTGTAACTTACAACGTATTCTAAGAGCTTTAATTGGTACCAAAATGTAAGAAATGGATCAATAAATTAACATTTATATTAACTCATAGCACTGACTGATGGACACATGTCATAACGGATCTAATATGTTGGGTAAATCTTTTCTTTCACACTGGGATTACTGGTATCCCTGCTGGAGCCAACTAACTGCTTGAATGAAAGAGTCACTTTACATTAAATGTACTTTGTTAGAATTTAAAACCATGATGATGTCAGATGTTTGAGGAACTATTACATTACGCGCTGCATTTCTGTTCATTAATCTATAAAGTCCTGCCAAAGGAAGCTCGTTGGCTGCAGATGTTATTAGATTGAGTTTTGTGGTATTATGAGAACAGTTTATCAGATTTGAATGCGGCAATAGTTAAAGAATTGTCGTTGAAAATAAGATAATTGCTGATAAATAAAGTTTTCACCGTTTTATCGATGCTATTTTACCCCCACCTTACACTGCCTCGTGTTCTGACAACATTGCGTATATCCCATTAACTCCCATTTGGTCAATTCGTATTGACCTGGGAGATTAAACAAATGACGCTGTTGTAAACTAATAATCACTGAAAAAACATGCATCAGTTAAAGGTATTTCGTTTCAATGAATGTGCTACAGGGCAACGCGAGAACTTGGTTCTCTCTTTACATATCGCAAATTGTAGCAGCGCACATTAAGTCGGGAACCAGACCGAAAGCAAAAAGGAGAGTTATCGCCCTTCGAAACCAAAACATCGCACGGATACAAAAAATACCTGAAAGCAGACGATTATATACTGTTGCATACCTTCCGTATGGCGAATTGTAGTCAGGAAGGTCCATAGCTACCGCCATGAAGACGTTCTTCAAATCCTGATTTGGAACGGTACCATGTCTACCTGTCTGGGCCCACCTTAGTCCAGGCATGCTGCCCACAGATGTCGCACTCTGACGATAACCAGCCAGCTGAAAACAACAAGCGTTTAACTCAGTATACATATTACAGTAATGGAATTTATATTGGTGAACTTCCTCTGTATATGTTTAATAATAATAATAATGGATAGCATTTATATAGCGCTAATCTCCGAAAGGACTCTTTGTGCATTTCTTTCACATACATGGGACGGAAAGGACACATCAAAGGAAAGCTTGTTTAAATAAGAATGTTTTAAACCGGTCTTGAATGAACTTAGAGAAGGGAATTGCGGAGTTCATTTGATTTGGGAGAGCAAACTGAGGGCGCACTGTATTTGAAAGAGCGCTGTCCTGCTGACTTTAAGTTGTACTTTGGGATTTTTAACAGTTTCTCACTGGAAGAGCGGAGAGTTCGTGGAGCCTTGTACGTAGAGAGCTCTTTGGACAGGTATGGCGGTAGTGAACCGTCATAATGGCGAAACACAAGTGTTGCAATCTTGTATTTGCACCGAAGCGTGATAGGCAGCCAATGTAGATGTCGCAGCATGGGAGTCACATGATTGTACTTCCGTCTCTTCATCACAAGACGAGCTGCACCGTGCTGTACTCGCTTGAGACGAGTGATCTCGTCAAGAGGGAGACCAAAGAAGACTGAATTGCAGTAGTCCAGCCTTGAAGTGATAAAGCAACTTACAAGACTGTCTGCTGAGTCTTCAGTGAGATATGGTCTTATAGAAGCAAGTCGGCGCAATTCGAGAAAACAGGCACGGGACACACTGCTGATGTGGTTATGGAGAGTTAGTGATTGATCTAAGTGCACCCCCCAGATACTTCACACAAGGTTGGAAGGGAATATCACTCCCTCCAGCTGACTCATCCTTGATAAGTTTTAGACGGTTGGGTGCACCAACTGGCATAAGTTCTGTTTTGTCGGTGTTCAATTTCAGTTTATTACTGAGCATCCATTCCAAAACATCGTCAATGCATGATTGGATGTCATGTTTGACAGCACCGAAATCCTGAGGACGACCACTTTTAGACATTTCGGTGTCGTCTGCATATTTCTCGAATTCACAGTCATGGGAACAGATGACATCTGAGAGTGGTTGTACATATAGAGTAAACACCACTGGCCCCAGGACAGAGCCCTGTGGAACTCCATACGTGAGGGAACTGGGGTTGGACTGGATGGAATCAATTTTAACTCTCTGTGTACGTCCACTGACATAAGATTTAAACCATGCTAAAACTGTACCTCGAATGCCATATGTTATTTCCATCCGTTTTAATAGAATTGAGTGGTCCAGCGTATCGAACGCCGCGCTCAGATCCAATAGAGCCATCAGAGAGACTTGCCTTTCATCATCCTTTAGTAGTAGGTTGTTGACAACACGAAGTTCGAAAACACAGGGCCGTCATGTCTTGGTGGGTTGGCTGGAGATGAGTCAAGATCTTCCCGTATCCGACTTATTTTGTCAGAAAAATAATCACAGAATTGCTGTGGGAGATCAGATTTCGGAAAGTTATTCGGAAGAGGTGTAGTCTTCCTTTTCCTATTAATTCGTTAGTGACTGAGAAGAGTTGCTTTGGTGACACACTCTCTGTGATTTTGTTACAGAAATAGTCCTTCCTAGCATTTTCAAAGGCAATATTTGTAGTGCGCCTTTCATTTATAAAAATTTCTGTGCACCGTTAGATGACTCTTTCTCCACTTCTCTTCAGTGAATGGAATATGTTGATATTGTCCTGTTTACTGAATATGGCATAAGTTTATGTTTTATATGATTTTTTGTTTGTTTGTTGTTTAACGCCGCACCCAGCAATATTCCAGGTGTATGGCGGCGGTCTCTAAATAATCGAGTCTGGACTGACTATCCAGTGAACAACATCATGAGTATCGATTTACGCAATCGGGATTCGATGACATGTGCCAACCGAGTCGTCTATCTTGAGCACCCAATCCCGAAAGTCACATGGTACGACAAGCATGGGTTGCTGAAGACCAATTTTAACCCAGAACGTAAAGGGTAGGTTTCATATCAAACGGGCTTCACTCATTGTAGACGTGCGGGGAATATACACCCAGATATGTTAAGTGATATAAATAGAACATTAAATACAAAACGATGCAATATTATTTCTAATTCTATTTCACCTGGACAAACCCAAATGGGAAGGTAGCGCTTGTCTCGCCCAGTGAGGCCTGGTGAAACTTTTGTCGCCAGTCGCTGATCATTGCCTGGAACTGACACGAATACTGACGATAATATCCAGCGTTGGACTCACCTGGAACACAACGTACGACCAGTATACTTATCAGCATGGCCTGCGTTATTACAACATGTAATAATGTAAAAATGCGGAACGGCGGAAAATGCAACAAGTATTAGTTACAAACAAGAAGACAAAGTCATCAATATCCCCTGCAACGGCAAAATACTCTTTATGAATATGTCTACTAGTTATGATTATGTCAAATGTTTTGGAGTGTATACAGCAAAGTGGAAGGAGAGTATTGAAAGCTTTTAAGATCTGCTCCAGAAAGGAGCACTACCACCGTATTCAGTTTAAGCCTAACTTGTTGCCATGGAAATGCAACAAGATGACATCCTCATAGTCACAGCCTAAGTCATGTTTCCATGGAAACCACAAAAAAATAAAATTCATATCTGGGTTTAACCCCCAAAAGGCGCATCTAGGGATCATGCTTGATATGTGTACTAAGTTTGATGAAGCTAGCATGTATAGTTTGGGAGATCCGCTCCGGACAAGATGACATCCTCATAGTCACAGCCTAAGTCATGTTTCCATGGAAACCGCAAAAAATAAAATTCGCATCTGGGTCTAACCCCGAAAAGGCACATCTAGGGATCATGGTTGACATGTGTACCAAGTTTGGTTAAGCTATCACGAATAGCTTATGCTTCGGACAAAGTATGGCGGACGGACGGACGGAAGTCGTTTCTATATCCCCCGCAACAACGAAGTTTCGGGGCATAAAACTTGGGGTGAGTGAGTTCAAAGCTGCTTTTCCCAATATTCCAGCGAAATCACGTTATCCTGTTGTCTGATGGTTTAGTCAAGAATGTTTTTTCTGCTTAGAAGCAATTCACTACAAGGATTAATCTTGTTCAATGGTGATAATATTCAGAATGAAACTAAAGTGGTTTAGTTGCACCATCTTGCATCATGAAGCCTCGAAAATGGAGTGCTGTACTCCTTAGGAACTTCCACAAACATTCAGCCAGAGTGCAGCTATGAGCAAACAACTGCACTGCAGCTGAGGAGATATTTAAACGGCATTGACGCCATAGAATATTACCAGATTACTCTTTGACCAGATATGAACGATCACCTATAGTGATAAGACCAGGCATGGCATGTGCGTAGATTACTTTGCCACTGACTTACTCTTACTGAGGGAGATGCTCATGTAACCACATAGTCTGTTAGATAATGTGTGTGGCTTTGATCTCGCCTCCAGCCAGATGATATGAAAATCTATAAATCCAATCGTATGGGGTCTACAAATGTGAAGTTTTGGTGGTTGTTGGATCTGTATACCTTGATACCAGATGGTCCCGTGGATGGTAAGGTCACGGAGGGGGTTGATCATTGCGTTCCAGAGAATAGAGGCTGCACTTGGATATCTGTAATACAAATTACAAAACTGGTTAATAGGAACATATACGAAACGTCCACAGATTTACATTACCTTTTGTAAAACATGTGCATGTTCAATACTTAAAGATTGGTGAGCAAGACCTGTTAAAGTAAGTATTAGTAAAGCAATACGATTTTACCGTTTCGTAATGTGGGAGCAAGTTGCCAGGGCATCAGGAGAGGACCAGACTTCGATACGCGTTCCTCCCCAGCAGGAATCGATCAAACCAATGGGATACTTTCTGTCATTGTAGAGATACTCGCCGTACAACCAGCACACAGCAGAGAAAGTGTTGACAGCAACTGTGCAGGATAATTGATGCTTCTGTTTTCCATATCTTGCAGGGTGTACTTATATGATAGTATTAACATGCAAACATATAAAGTGATGGAAGATACATCCCATCAGTGGATGAAGTATATTTAAATTCTTTCAAAGTATTTGAACTGGTCGAATACCTTTTGTTGGTTGTGTCCAATTTGTATATATTCCATTTCCTGGCAGTTCTGTAAGAGGTGACGTCGATTGGATGTTTCGTACGCGCATGATCCTGATGTCTGCATACTTCAGTGATGCTTCTAGTTCAGCTGTTGCATTCATTATCTATGTTTGAAAGAGTTAGTATAGTTTTACGCCGCTTTTCGTATCACGTCTGGGGACAGCAGAAATTGGCTTCACGCATTAACCACTAGGCTACCCGACCGACCCATGTTAGACAGAAAAGCAATAATAGCAAAACTAAATTCCAATACAAAATGTATTGAAGAAAAAAGTAACATTACATGGCCTTCGACAAGCTACATGTTAGGAACACGGATAAGGGTACAACGTTTACATGCCTGTAATTAAAATCAACTTGAGACCCAGAACTGATTCTTTCCCAGAAGACGATGTTGCCAGCCAGGTTCGGTCAGCCTTTCCAACATTGTTTCTTTATTGGTTAGATGAAAGTAGATGAGACTTCAATGCTTTGGTCAATCATAAATGTCAGCCACCAAATGCGTAACACTGCGACCCCTAATCGTCGATATTGCCAGATAAACGCAGCAGAGAGGGTTCCGGTGAGGACTGACTAGACAAACAAAGGATATGAATGATTCTATTTGATTTATCCAAACACAAGGGGTCCGGTTGTTAACGACTTACATGTCCAGCTGGAAACTCCATATTACTTTGTCCTCCACAGAGCCATACATCCCCGAAAAGGACGTCCTTGATCATCACTGTTCCCTCACTTGACTTGGCAGACACGGTGAAAGGACCCTTGTCTGTCATGGCCGGAAGCTTGACCTTCCACATTCCATGTCCTGCAGCATCTTTGGTGACCACACCTGTGACTGAGCCGTGTCCAGCGATGGCCACTGAAACAGTGTCTCCAAGTTTTGTGGCATGTCCCCAGATGACAGCTTGTTGAGGACCTCTCTGTAGAACCATGTGGTCCTGGTAGTAGGAGGCAAACTGCAGGGCGCCATCGGACCCTACATGTTCAAATAAGGGACATCTCAATTACATTAGAATAGTTCTATGGATACGAAGCAGTAATATCATAAACATGCGTACATGAATATTTTGGCCGACTGGCATACATATTTCCTGTGATAAGGTGAATAAAATAACCTGATTGCATTTACAAGGCATAGACGGGTTGGTTGGAAAACACACAGCACATGTACTAAACTAAATGTATCATTACCAGCCAAGAGGAGGGTTACCAGAGCAATCTGCAACATACTTAACGACGGCGTTGTATCACAACGTCTGTTTCAAGCCTGTTCAACGAGGCCACTTGTGTGAAAAGTCAGCTGTAGAATTTGCTGATTAGACATCTTTGAATGTCGAGATTACGTATCGTGCTATAGACATGCGTCCTGAGTACAATGCGAAGCCTATTTGTAAGACTTTTTCGATTTAGATAAAGATATATGTAACATGTTTTGCGCTTATCACAGGATTGGTGTGTTCTAGTGAAGACAACAAGTTCAAAGCTTACCAACCATAGCTTTCCAGAATGTTGTTTTTTGTAAGGAAAGAGTAATTTAGCTTATGTTTTATTACCTGTGGTGATTAGGACTGATCAGTACAGTGGACCTGCCTTAAATACGACAGTCGTGATAAGCTATTAATGCAAGCGCTAGTAATTCTACTGCTTTTTTCACACAAACACGAGTACTGAATACAAAATCAAGCCACTTGGTAGACGGAAGACTCGCGATGAAAACAAGGCATTTTACAGTCTTCTTAAAGAAGCCGAGGATGTAGGACAGAATATATGCCATAGTCAAAGCTGATGTTGGTGATAATTCTGCACTGGTGGACAAGAACAGTGCCATATCACATCGGCATGTGCCCGAATTTGTTGGGAATATATAGGAAGAAACACAACTGTAAAGAGCCTTCGATAGTTATCACGAAACCCAAAGTAACACTCTTTCAACAATCCTGTTTACCATCACCAATTCATATCTGGAATTTCCCGGCTGCCTTTCCGAGATTTGGTATTCATTTGGGGTAGGAATTAATGAGTCTGTATGTAGGAATAGATACTACACAGTTACCACGTATAAACGTATCGTGTGTGGTCGTGAGTCGCATATCTCAGGTAAAGTTTCAATTTCTATAAACATGTAACTATAAATCAGCCGTCACCTAACTCAGTTTAATAACCAAATACATAACTAGGAAGAAATATTGGTTTGTTTTCATTGGATATGACTTTTAATCTTTCAGCGATAACTTGTTCTCGTTCTGAGGGCCACTTCAGCATCATTCGAGTTATTTTAAGGATTAAGGAGCATATTTCAGTACATCTTGTAATAAAGCGACTGGTCAAAATGAACAAGAAAATTGATGGTGTTGTTTCATGTGTCCAACAAAAGAAAGTAAAAAATATCATCTATTTCACAGATTCGAAAAGGTTGAGGTAATATGGCCAGGGACATGTCATGATGTATTCATAATGAGCATGAACAGTCTCAATGTGCATGAGCCCCAGAATGGAGCAGAGGAAATAGACAACAGTGCCCATATGAAGACCCAACACACCTTCGAGAGAAATTGCGTTAAACAATACATCTATGTTTCACATATTGTTTTGTTAAATAAAGCTTTGCCCTGTTCATGTTTTGTAATTAATTGAAAGGTGTTTATTACGATTTTTAGAAACAAAATACTGAAACTGGTTTTACACAAGATTAAGATTTTGACTCAACTCAATTGCATGTTAGGTGTTATTAAATTTACATATACACAAAGAAGTACGTCCACTTCAACTCCTGTCACCATCCACAGATAAAACAAGCTCACATTGCCACCCTCACTAAAGCCATTTACCATCCTGATGCCTCAGCAGTGAACTGAAACATGTGAAGAAACAAGTCATTCCCCTCGATGGTTACCCTTCGGGCCAAGTCTCAAACATTATCAACAAAACTCTCAAAACACCTAATAGTGCGTTTGTCTTTAAGTAGAGTTCGATCTTTATTTTCCTTTGGAAAGCGTAGTATTTGTTAAACGACTAGTACTGAAGGCTTCATTGATATATCTGAGAACCCAAGCCCCAAAATAAGTTGCAAAGATTTTGAAAGGTTTTCTGAGAAAACCAAACATTTCCTGCACTTTTTCGTGGAATTGCTTCTAAAATGTCATACTGTTTGCATTGTTATACGTGAATGTTCATTTGTGGATGAGTATCATCCATTCCGTATATTTTGTGATGAGAGAATCTCAGTCAAGCAGGTCATCCTTGAATGTGTTGATTATGTCTCCCTGAAGGGTGAAGGATATAACTGTACATCTTTTGAAAAAGAAATACAATGACTTGATTTTTAGCAGAAGTCATGTTTTTAAAAATATTACAAAGTGATTTATAAATTTAGTAGAATGAAACAGAGGCTGTCCCTTGAAAGGCGATTGAAGAGACGTGAAATAATTGTCCCCAGACGGGGTAGGGAATTCCCACCATTCAAAGCATTTTCGTCTCTCCAAGGTAGTGTAGTTGTTAGTTGGAACTGTTTGGCTAAAGTTTCCAGAACATTGCCAGCAGCCATATTCATGCTGAAATCATGTTGGAGGAGCATGCAGGAAGGAAATCTCCATGGTAATAGCATGGTATCCTTGCGTTAATTGTTGGTGACCTGTAGCCCATCCTTATCATGTGGTGTTATGAATAGTTAGTTGCTATGGTTCATACTAGTTTTAAATATAGATATGTGGTGGCTTAAGACACTTTAGTTGCATGATTTATACATGAAAACACAATGCCATTTACAAAGTGGTCAAGCTCAACATATGTTATATTTGGCTGACTCTGAGGGTGTGGGTTCGAATCCCGGATGGGACTCAACCCAACAAAAATACTAGAATATGTACTTTACTAAGAATGTGTAACCCCAAATTTAACATATGTTACATGATTTACACAGTTTGTTTTATGTATAATTGATATATAACATGTTGTATCATGATGTGGCTGAAATACCACCGATGTGATTTGAAATGTAAATGAACCCAAGCTCAGGTGTTTGTCTCATAAAGCATAACGTTAGCATTGTGTAAGTGTTTTGTAAATAAATGTCTTTACACTAAGGCTTCGCAGATATGAATGGAAGAGTAAACGGATTTCAACATATATTTCCACTAGCAGAAAACGTTTTGAAATAATATAGGTGTACATAACTGTATTTTGGCAGCACGAAGAACATAAAAATGCATTTTGGTGGACAATCATCCTTAAGAACTTGTCGTGCTTTCTCTTGTGTTATTTCAGAATGACAAAAACTACGAGTTCTGACAAGAGTGGATTGGACATTTTTTCAGTTTTGTTTTTGAAAATCGGATCGGACCAAAAATGTGAAAACGGTATGACTAGTTTTATGGTGGAAACTGTCACCGTAACACTTTAAGATTCAAAAACAAAGCTCTGATACCCAAGTCCTGCACGTGCCCCGACTCACAGGGAGATCGTAGGACTACGACAAAGTCAATGTCAGGGGTGTGATTTACGACAGATCAAAGATTCCCTTGGAAGTGGAATTCTTGGTCACTCTGAGCTAATGGGTGACGATGGGTGAGGAGGTCTGCAGAAAACATAAGGCAGTTATTCAAGAAGTTCGTTTATTAAACACTCAAAGTTGGAGCGATACAAGGTCCTCACTTATATCGTCTGTTCAGATACAGTTTCACCCTAACGTAAGAGTTCTTCTACCGCGGCACCTTCGAGTGGTATCGGTGTCTCCCCTGCACACTTTGGACTTGGTGTTGACCTTTGCCACGGCGTACGACATGTACTGTTGGTAGGCGTCGGGAATGACTCTGAGGTGTCGCAGACCAACGAGGGAGAGTCCGCTGTCGCGGATGAAGTCGCCAGCTCGAAACCTGCACCTGTTCATAGAGGAGGTGTGGATAAACTTAGACCTGCCTCTAGCAATCACGGAGAACTGAAGTCCCCAAGTTGGGTTAGGGAGGGGTGGGGGTAGTGAGCGAGCGACTTGTGGAACACCACGCTTAAACATTGCATTAATATCATGATGGAGGACATAAAAATTGGGTTTCACATACAATGGATCGAACCCGGACCATCAGTATAATGGGTTTAGGAAATGTCTAGCATACAGCTCCTCAAGAGGGCAAAATGAGGAGGGATGGTCGGGGAGCCTAGTGGTTACAACATTCATTCGTTTTTCACTTGATTTGCCATATGGGTACAATGTGTGAAGTCCATTTCTGGTATCCCCCGTGGTGATATTGCTGGAATATTGCTAAAAGCGATGCAAACGCATACTCATTCACTCACTGGATATGAACAGATGTAGCTAACATATGAACCATTCGCAATACATTATTAAGGGATGCCTAAGGCTTCTCGCTATTTATCGCCACAATCTAAACTGAGTCTTTATTCACTCAACACAAATTGTAATAATACTAATGACAATAAGTTAGGGTAATCCTGATGAGGAAGTGAATGAATGGTGTTTTACGGCAGCAACATTTCAGTTTATCACTAACGTTTCTGAATTATACAAGGTTGAATATATGAGGCGAACTAACACACAAAACATTGCCTCACAACCAAGCACACACGGAACCAACTTCTTGCCAGGACTACACACCAGATAATGTGTTTTGTATATTTTATCGTACCGGGATTCGATGAAAGAAGGACAGTTGGATCCGATGTAAGTCCTGGCCGATGCGTTGCTGATATGTTCCTCCTGCTCGAAGAAAGCAAACAGGTAGAGGTGATTCAACGATGATGCCATGGGCATTTGCCAGTCATATACCTCGTCACCGGAAGTGATGTCAGCACCCGGGATGTTGACGACCATCCAATGGATAATGGAGTTTTGATTGGTCTTTCCCAGTTCAGGGGTCAGGTCGAGCATCATCAGGGTGTACTGCTTGTCTAAAAACAAAAGCATATCCTTTTATCATGAGAGTTGAATAATCATCCTAAACGTTTGATTTAAAAATTCTGTTTTCTATCTATAAATGTAAATTGTTTGTCAAATCCATTTTTGCGTGCATAATTTCTTTGCACTGATTTTTTGTCATGTTTCTTTGAGTGCAAAACCAATCATCTTTTAGAAATTTGAGACCACGGCATCGCCACCCACGAACTGATAGTCGGGTGAGTTCTCTCACCTGAGGGAAATTTATCTCCGATATCCAGTGGGACAAATTTGACTTGTGGGGATATCCGAGTCTCCACAGAGCGCAAGAGATCCATGTTCCGATAATCTACAGTGACGTTTACTGGGCTGGAACAGTAAAGAGACAGCCATGAAGGGGTAAAAGATACAAAGGCATAGCATTTCTCTTGCCAAACTTTTTTATTCGTATGCTTTTTCCCGTGCACACATGACTTCAAGAATACACTTTGAAATCCAATATACTCTGAATCATTCCACCATGTTAAGCCTCTTTCACACAGTATTTCTATGATATATGTTAGAACAGGAACATGAATGAAATCTATTCCACGGAGGCTACATTATTGGGAACATGAACGTACCCCCATTTTGTGATACACTCTATCGCATGATCCTATCGAGGAATCCTTAGAAGATGTGTACGGTTCCTAGCACATGAGAGTTGCAACATTTTCTGACTATACGCATGTAATATTGGGGACTTGGAATTAGTCATCATTTGAGACACACTATTTCGCTTCATGTGTGTTATAGAGAGGCCATGGGCGTATCCACCTTTTGTGATACATGTTCCAGATACAGATGTGTTATAGAGGGGGCATATGAGTACCAACCTTCTGTCATACAGCATTCCGCACGATTTGTACGTTATAGAGGGGGCCGTGAAGGTGACGTCAACGGATACACTGAGATCAAGACGTTCCGGAAGTGACGGGAGCCCACTTTTTTTCTGAATGTAGCTGCTGAACCCTGGATGATATATGGAATGTTAGCTTCATCATTTTTTGGGGGGGTGAATATATTAAGAAATATGTTTGAGCCATGCCATAATATATCCAATGCATACCACGTGTTATTAAACGCTCGTTACAGCTAATATCGGTAATCTAGACAAAAGTTATGGAAAACAACTTAATTATCTCTTGAGAGCGACGTTTCGATACAGATTCTTGTACCGTTCAGCATTTCCTGTTTGACAACGGTACCAGAATCTGTATAATATTTATGTGATCACTTTTTACTCTTTGCACTGATTATGACCAGGCTCTACAATATTTACAGATATATGCTTGTACAACTTACACTGCCCATAATAGACTGGACATCTGTTCAGAAAATTAACAGACCGGATGAAGGCCGCGGTGTACTCATCTGTTGAAGTCAGAATCACGCTGATGCCATAGGATCGGGCTGCAACCATGAACAAAGTGTTTAGCCTACTTGCTTTAACAAATGCAAGGTTGGTGCACAATAGACTGTGCATTTTGCTGTCTGGTAGTGTTATCCATACTTAATCAGTCTTGGAATAGTATAACATAGATTCCGTTAAGATTCAGTTGGGCAGTGGTAGTTACTGTTTAGTTCATCCGTAATATTTCAGTGTATTCTGACCCAGTGAGTGAGAGAATGTTCTAGAAAAGAAATGTCGGGAAGCTGTTTTTATATTTATAAAGGAAGTACACCCTTAGCATCGTCACTGCACAGTCCAGCAGTTGTGTGAAAAATCCCTTTTCACCTCACCTAAGACAATCTTGGAAGCATGACCGCTTTTGCAGCATTGTGAATTCCACAATATCTGTCTATTTCCATCATGATTGTTTTATATTTCACTTTCTCATATATTACCATTGTATTTGTACTGCCTAAATATTTTGTGCTGCAATTGTAATTCTCTAACAGCAATTTAGTCAAGCTTAAAAGACAAGAGTTGTGAAAAATGTCTTTGCTTGTTGAAATCACTACGGAATCCCGAAAGTACGTATTTAATTAATTAAGATAGAGTGGATGATGTTGAGATATTTGCGAATGTATCTACAAGAGAAAATATGAACACAGTAGTTATTCTTTAGTTAACGTGTGTGAAATAGATTTCATTCACTACTGCTTTGAAGAAAGTTATTTACAATTCGTGATCTTTAAATGTTTCATTTGCAGGCACATTTTCGCAGAATGATATCAACATGAATTTCATGTAAAGACATGAAACTACAGTACAAGCTAACACCTTCAGCTTGGTAATGAATATATATACTTTAACAGAAAGTAAGCATTTGTTCTTACTTGAGAGTGCCAGCTGCGACACAAGATCCTGCACGTGGACTGGGCGTCGGCTGTTAGGAACCTGTGAGGGGTCCAGTGATCTCTTTTGCTTAAACACGAGCCAAACATAGGGGTTGTTCCGGTCCAAGGGGTTTCCAGGCCCAGAGTAAGGAAGTATAGTCTGGAAGGGAGGATATATAGGTTAAATTTTGTATAATTAATGGTAGTCATCGATCGCTACAGGCATTCGACAAAACGGGAATTCTACTGTGACGTATTCAGGCTATTCTACACACACATTCTAATTATTAGTACGTAGAAAAACCGAGTTACGTTTGAAGTAGGGATTACGCAATGTTTCCAATGAACGCTTGATGGCTACCTTTGATACCACTTATAAATATGCTTTTTAGTGTCTCGATCAGAGCAAAATTTGCAGTTGTTAGAGGCTACAATTATTTTGGACAAGAAGGGAATTTCACTGACGCATTCAGGCTTTTCTACACATGCATTCTAAATATTAGAACTTATACTTTGTAAAACCATTTGAGGTTTAAAATGACGCGATGTTGTTATCATCTTTTGGTGTTTAAGGATCGCTTGTGAACGCTTAACGGCTGTCTTTACTTGTTATATGTCTTTTAGTGCCCCGATCAGCCATTGTACAGGGACGTGTTTGCAATGTACAGGCCTGATGTTTGCAGTTTTTCCGCGAATCGTTTCAGACAAGGGCAATTTTAATACGTTTGACAAATGTTTGGTCGAGTTCACTTGCCAAGAGGAATCGTATTGAACGTTTTGCTCGGCACTCATTCAGTTTATTTTGTATAGAGGAAGGTCACCCACGTCTCCATTCTGTAATCTGCCGCCGGGGACGTTGACGTATAACGCATGCATGTAGAAGGGGTTGGGGTCAAACATCATGACGGTGTAGAGGGCGTTCTCCTCCGCTGGCCACGTCACTTCCGGCTCCTCACGGAGGTCATAAGGGGGATAGATGGAATTTGCCAGAGGGTCAATGACGAAATCTTGTGGTCTAGTCAAGGGCACTTGTACTATCCTCCCACAGCCGTTGTATTTCCCTGATGTTTAACAGTGACACTCGTGTACATAAGACGGTATGCCAAACACTTGAAAAACACAAAATGCATAGCTTGTCTACTTTTTGTCGTGCAATTTATAAAATGGACGATCAATTATGAATCTTTATCTTAGAGGTATAATGTATCATACCATGATTCGCTAAATGTTTAAAGAGTAATCTTATATTTGCATATTTAGCACAAGATTAATTTTTAGATAACATAAAAGTAATGTTTGGACATAGCTTTCCATGTTATTTATTAAAAACAACAGAAATTATTTTGGTACATCCAGCATGTGTTTTTATATGAATAAAGGTGACAAGTGACAAGTTTATTCTGTGTAGAGGCCTCAAGGCCAAGAGCACATACATATACAGAATAATGGTTGCGCATACAAAAAAAGTGGATACATAATTAAGTAGGTAGGTTTCTCTGAAGGAATATAGCAAGGTTTTTAACATGTTTCACATTGTGTGATGACAAGAGTTGGTATAACTTATTCTTAGAGGGAAATGTGTGAAATAAACGGGGTATAAGCTGCTCCTTCAAACTTTTATAACATGGACACACTAATACCAGGTGGAATTCATCTTCTATGATATTCATGTTACATTTAGAACAAATAAGTTTATTACATTCAGTGTCATTATCATATCTCAAATTACTCACTTTTAACTGATTAGACTGGAAACGTAGTTTATAGCATACACGGAGTAAATCTTTGTTACTGAACAATTCTATTATGTATTTCTCTGTATCTAAAATGAGAAATCACTCCGACCTGACAGAATATCTTGCCATTCTTGAAATTGAATGTCTACACATCTTTGGGAAAACATACTCATCAATATTTTATAAATATTAAATATCACCAAAATCCTGTGCAATCCAGACATAGGAAAATCCTGTTGAAAATGAAAGTCTGCGAAGTCCAGTTACCCAATTTATCTTTCCATCATTATCAAAGATCTTTAACTGATCATAGCAAACTTTGGAAAATCGCCCTGAGTGCATATATAAAAGTCTGCATTAGCAGCTGACACAGAGACTGAAATATTTAACACAAACTGGATGCCTCCCTACATCTCCTAACACCATACGAGTTGGGGTGAATTTTGATACACTTAAACATCGTTTGAAATACAGACTATGTAGTCTTTCAATATCACCTCTGTACGAAAACCCCCGTACAATAGAATTGACATTATATGAACAAAACACCTTGTGAGATATCCCAGATTTTTTCAGAAATAATAACAATTGTTTTACTGATATCACATATCGAATCTGTCAAAATAAAATAATCAAATAAATATATAAGAGAGTCTTGTATATATGACCGAATATGTGGGGTCGGACAGGAGATATGTACTCACGGTCAGATCCATCAGCTGAAAATATAAACATGTATGTGTAAATGACAGGGTATCGTTGATCTCCTAATGTATTGACGTAACCAATGAAAATACTTTCGACCATTGAATCCCCCAATGTTAACTCCTGAAACTGTATACACACAAGAACAGAAGCTATCTTGTTTTACTCAAACATCTGCCTCAAACATTTGATATTTTATCTGCCAACAACACTCACATAATAGTTACCTCCCTTTATCTTAGGTCAAGTTGGAATCAGAATCCCTCCTGGGTACCGTTAATTGAACTATTATCCCAAAACGTATCACTACAGGTATAAACAAATCCTTTTACCACAAGAAACAATTCGAATTATTTGAATTTAGTTCATTTCTTTCTGAATCCGTGAAATGAAAGGAGAAAAGGCTGTCATCGTGAAGGTTTTGCTTACTTGGAAGAGTAATATGGTAAGTGACGTTGGGGACGAATCCAAGACCGCTGGAATCGGTGGCACCCTCCCCCATAATTCGAGAGAGGAGGGATTTTAGGGATGGTGTGGTGTTTCTACACAAGGGGCTCACTTTGCCAGGTGGGCAGTCAGTCGCGTACCTCGTCCCAAACCAGAAGGCTGAGGTATTGGTGTAGAGGGATCTCATTTTCGCAAGACACGGTCCGTCAAGACTGTCGATGCAGGCATTCTGGGCGTGAACATCTGCAGGCATTGGAATATAAGGGAGCATTTAAGAAGCTATGTCACAGGCATAAAAAAAACATCCAGTTAAAGGACCTCTGAACCCTAATGGTGACTTCATGCTATTGAACTAACATTCGACAGGTCTCCTTAAACGTGCATTTCAATAAGTAAAGACTATGGATCATTATATGTAATAGTAAATGACACACATTTGCAAAGTTGAGCACCACCCATAATTATGTGAATTTCATGTATGTTTACGCTGGCTGGGAATCTTTCATGTTGTATGCATAAAATATTACACAGGCGAGGATGCATTATGTGATGTTCATTTGCATCCACAAGTCTATAAAAATTTATCTGGCCACTATTTTGCATTTTATTGGCTTCATGCATGCTTAAATATTGCATTTCCAACTATTTGAAGAATATACACAGGATTATTCGTAAACGTTTTGGTTCTGTATCCTGTCAGTCATTGAAGAATTTTTGCTAAACCTTCTGTGTCGTTGCCAAAGTTCATAATACAGATTATCGACTACCAGATGTGCGACTTCCATTCCTGTGTGGTGGCTGAGTGGGTTAGATGTCTGACTTTGTACGCTAGAAATGTGATGCCTGACTGAGTCCAGGATGGGACTAAAACTAACAAAAGTACTCGAATCTGTACTTTACTGCGAAAATGGAAACATTATCCAAACGATGCTGATAATCTCACTTGTGTAAACATTATCCTCTCGTCACTGATAATATGTCACACGTAGTTGTATTAGTAGCTAGAAACAATTTTAATTTACTTACCGTGATAACAAATATTACGTATGACGATGGTTACAACGCATTATAGCAATATCTAACATTGGTAAAAAGTCAATTTCAATTGCATCATGTTTCCAAAATGGAACAAACTTTTGCTGTCAAATTTTAGCTGGCAAGATCATACATGCATTCAAATATACAATGAACGTGAGAAATACAATCTGGAAATATACATAAAATAATAGGTGATCGTTTAAAGACAGTGTTGATATACATCATGAAATGTTATGGGCCCACGGGTTTACGCCATATAGCTGTTATGGTAGTTTTTATAGTGGGTGGTTTTGACTCACTTGTCCTCATGGAGAGTGACCTTAGTTGACCACAACCACACCAACGGTTACAACTGTCATCACAATCTGTACTCTTTACCTTCCCCTTGTTATGAAAATAAAAATAGTTGAATATAGAACAAACTTTATGGATAACAACTTCTTTTTATTCGTGAGTGCGACGTTTCGATACAGATTCTTGTACCGTTGTCATGCTTGAAAGTTTGTTCTATATTGTACTTCCCAACTTCTAAAATGCCACTCAAAGAAGTTAAAAATAGTTGCATTCTAACTCACTCATCAGCAGACTTAGAAACATCGCTTTTCATAATAAGATAAACCACACTTGGAGAATAGCTAACGATACGTACATGACGTGGTCGTCAAAATTAGAGCCAGCAGAGCAGATAAAGATGCCATGGTCGTCTCTTGCTGTGACGGAAATGGCGAAGTCAACGGTCTTTATAGCCTGCAAACCGCTCGATAGACAGTAGGTGTCCCGTCAGCCTAAATAAACAATGATTATGCAAGTAAACACGCCCATAACCACCACAACAATCGCTGAAAAATGCTGTGTTAGTTTGATTAGGGTTTGATGTATTTGATGGGAAATTGCCGAATATTGTGCCAATAAATTTGTTGAATATATTGCTTGATAAATATTTACAACATTTTAGTTCTTTAAGATCTTTGTAGCCATTTGTTTCTCCCTATCGTAATGAAACCACCACAGGAATGGTATAAGACTGAGGACAAAACTGGGAGTAAAAATATATGATCATTTTGGACAGAAAACAACCAGAATTACATAATATAATTATGGAAATATGGCTTAATCCTCGTGACACTAATTTGTTAGTGCAATATAGTTCATGTTTACCTATCAGTACCCACCGTATTATATATAATATTAGCTTATTGCCTTCCCGGTGAAAGCTGTTTTCCCTTTTTTCCCTTTTGTATTTGAAAATATAAAGGTCTGCTACGCGGTTCATGATATTTTTTCTTCTCTTCTTTAATAACAACCGAATCGTGTCCATTCAAATATGGCTGTAGCTCTGCAAATAGCTTCAAGAAATTAGCAGCGTTTTATATTTAGAAATGATTAACCTCCGAGTTGTTATGAAAATATGGATCAGTCTATTTGTACCTTATTTAAGCATACGCTGACAGATTACATTCGCGCTAAAAGTTTATGTCATTATCTTAACAAGACATGAAACATGGCATAAAAGCATAACTAGATCTCGTTAACTCATTTGTGTAAAAAAGAGGAGCACTGGTTTGATGGGTATGTTATCAAACCCTCCATTTATGACTTTATGACCCTGAGTGTTTATGCATGGTCTGTTTGACGGGAGCTCTTAGACTTGTAACGAAAAGCATAACTTCCTAATACCAGAACTAGCTAGTATGAATTGGGGGCCCTTTTTAAAGGGTTTTGTAGTGGAAGTATGGACGACATTTCCAGATTTAACGTCGGGACCAAGATGACGTCAGATGCAATTGTCTAATCCAGACTGTTCCAATGTCTTTTGGATGAACAGTAGCTTGCCTTTGAATGTGTTAGTCGTGGAACGATTTCGGTCTTCCGTTTGTGAATACCTGTTGTTGTTAGTGTTAAAAGTTCTGTATGGAACGGTCAGAATCCTGCGGTCGGCTCTACTTTCCCCGTGAAATTATTTTGTCACTTTTTGCTAACTGCTATACATAAGATAAAATGACGATCTGTTGTCCAGTAACATGAAATATATGTCAATTGTTCATTGTCTTATCATGATGTTTTCATGTCCGACCTATCTTTTGTCCGACAGAGAAAATGTAATTGCAGTTCTGTGAACAGAGTATATATTTGTATTGTGTTTAGAATAGTTCAGTCCCATAAAATAACACGACAAACAGGGTTGTGGAGAAGATGGGTGGATTGTTGCACCTTTTCTGATGCCACTGCATATTTGACAAAATCATTTTAATTTTAATCATTGAAAAATGAACGCAAATGAACGCAAATAACAACACACACACACACACACACACACACACACACACACACACACACACACACACACACACACACACACACACACACACACACAAGCAACAGTCTTTGATCTTGATTCTTACGGGCACATGTACATGATGCAGCACACATGGTGAGAATGAATCTACGTGTAAGTGAATGAATGTTTTTCATTTTTTATCAGTTTCAACAACTTTGAAAAACATTTGTTAATGAGACAAACACCTCGATAATGCAAAATGACTTCTGTATAACGGGTTTCTTGGATGCAGACTTTTCGCATTCGGTGTCTATACTGCCAGTGGTTACACAATTCAGGGTAGTTGCACTGGCATCGCCCTGTCGAAGCAGCTATCTCTTGAACGTCCAAATTTAGGAACTCCAGAATCCAAACCGTGAGGCCCTGTCGCGCTTAGTGATGATACTTTCTAATTAACATTGGCACGTTCACTAAAGAAAGAGGTTAAATGTGATGCATATTGATGCATCAAGGGCTGTTTATTCTGACTGAAAACATTCACCGATATATTTCATAAATTCTATGTTAAGATACACCAGCAAGGACACCATTGATTCTCTCGTTTTCAGATGGAAGAAACCTAAACTTGTCAAAGCACTGGAAATGGTGATTCATAAAGGGCTGGGGATGGTTTCAATGCATAACACATTGAAGTCCTACTGCTTGATAGTGTTTGCTTCAACGTGATACATTCAAATGTGAGTGACGCATGTATATATGCTTTACAGCATGGCACGTTCACTTACATAACATTTACTAATGTTATTGATTTTACACGTGTGAAACCGAATGTGCATGCGTATGTGTATATGTACTATTCGTTGACGTGAAAACCAGCTAACGTGTGTAAATAAAGTATGTAAATGGCTGGGAACACATTTTTCTTCTGCTATGGTAACGAAAATACATTTGTCTAGCACATGTGTTGTTATCCCCTTGTACTCACTTGCCCATTCTAAAACGATCAAGGTTGACACATTCTACCCCAGAGTCCCCACTAAGACAGAAAGGTATTACTCTTCCAAATATGATAGCCTTATCCCCTTTAATTTTACGAATACATAAAGAAAGAAATTAATACGTTTTTGTATAGTAGTTTAGTTAACTACTGGATTCTAATTCTGTTTGATTCCAATTTTAACTTGCCCATAGATAACGGGAGGTAACTATAACATGAATGTTGTCAGCCAATACACGATCAAATGTTTGAGGTTGAGTAACACAGTTTCAAGTATACATGATGTGGAGGAAGTGGAGATAACACATATAGAGAATACTACACGAGGTCTCATTACATACGAATTATACGAAACGAGTGTCCTTCCTATGGTATCTGACCGAGTGAAAGCGAGGTCAGATAACATAGGAAGGTCACGAGTTTCGTATAATTCGTATGCAGTGAGACCGAGTGTGGTATTTTATTTATTACCCACGTCTTACATGCATTTAAATTGACAAAATAGCGTATTTTTGTTACGTTTTTGGTTCCAAACCGAAACCGGTTTCATAAAGAGGTTGCGGAAGAGTTTTGTACTGTAGTACAATATTTGCATGACGTCACACTAATGACGTCACTGCCGTGGTAACCGACGTCACGATGCATGTCAGTTGTCATCGCCTCGTACAGCCTCCTACAGTAAACTGCTCCGTTGCACCTCGTTTTTTGGTTTCCAGTTGCTTCATTCGGCTAACATCACTGATGGAAACATTGCGTTTATGTTTTTCGACAGATATAATGTCTCAGTTCGACTCACAATTAAACAGCGACACGGCAACGTTCGCAATGTTTACATTCCCACAATGCATTTAAGTTGTAGAATGAATGAATTCACGTGTTTGTTATGAATGAAAAAATAGTTACGTCAGAATGTGACCTAATAGAGGTCATCGGTTATCCA